ATTTTTGATTATTATTCCTGGATCATATAACACCCGCTATAGATTGATCTTCCATCCATTTTCTCAAAGAGTCCAGAGTAGTAAATTTTTCATCTTTTTCTCTCCAGAAGATCCTAAGGCATTTAGGAAATCCCCATATATATTTCACTTCTTTAGCTCTTAATATTGATAGTTCCTGGCTAAAGCTTTTCCGCCATGCTCTTGTATGAAAAGATAAATCAGGGAAAATCTTCAAGTTCTGAAACCTCTCTTCTGTGACCGGATTCTTTCTCACAGAACTCATTATTTGATTTTTAATATAAAAAGATTGAAATTTAACAATTACATCTCTTGGTAATGATTCTGCCACATTTCTGGGTCTAGGTAACCTGTGGTATCTCTCTAATTCTGAATCTTGAAAACCAGCTTGAGATAATATTGTTTCAAAGTATTCCATCAGAAATTTTTTCAGTGAAGAATCGTTAATTTGTTCAGGGATATTACGAATTCTTATATTGGTTCTCCTAGAACGATCTTCCAAATCATTTAGTTTGTCCTCCAATGATTCTACCTTGGATTGTAGGTCTGTCATTACTGACTCTATGTGCACATTTTTTAAGTCTGTTTGCATCATCTTAGATTCTATAGATTCCAATTGGGCTTTCATATCTCTTATCTCTTGTTTTAAATCTAATGATCCTTTTTGGATATCTTCTTTAATATTGTCCTGTAATTTCTCCAGGTAATTAATTAAAATCTCTTCAGTTAGAGGTTTACCTGCTTGTGCAATAAGAGAGGGATTAGAGTTAGATTTGGGGGGAGGGGAGTTATCCTGTGTTTCAGAATTCAGTTGAAATTTGTTTGAAGGCGGGGAGAAATATCCTGATAACCTTTTATCAATAATAAGGTCTTTTTTTTCTCTTTTTTTTCTTTCCTCCTGTGGTTTTCTGGTTGCCATATTAATTTCTATAAAAGGTCTTCTATACTTGTTGTACTTCCTTTTTCTTTCTTATTATTTTTCTCAGTTAGTTATCCTTTTATTATCTCTTTCCTTTTCCTTTTTTATCTTCTTTTTTCACTCCTTTTACTTTTTTTTTTTCTTTTTCTTTGCAGTCATCCCCTTTTTTATTTTTCCTATTCTCTCCTTCTCTTGTTTTTTATTTTATTTTTTTTCCCTTTTCTTTTTTCTTCAAAGTTCACTTCCCCTTAAAAGTATTTACAATATTTACAATAATTTCTATTTCTGTTTTCCACTCTCAACCCCCTTCTCTCTATCACCCTCTCAAATGCAAAATTACTCAGTTCGTTTTAATTATGTCAGTAGAACATGAAAGCAGACTTATCTTTTCAGGCCTATATACCCGGCTTATATGTCGAGAGGGACTTCTCACACCGGACCGGACCGTCAGTGCAACTTCAAGTGGCCCACACAATCTGCTACAAGAGAGTTATAGTCCGAGGTCCGAGAATTCATCCACCTGGTCCAGCTCTCGGTCAGCTCCGGCTCCGGCTCTCGGTCACTCATTCCAGGCTCACTCGACCCGCCAGAAAAAAAACGCCACGGCCACTCTCCATCATACCGCCCCTCCCCTCACGTAGACGCGCACCCGCCTACGTCATCGCACCTCGCCTCCCTACGAGAAGGGTTAGGGTTGGTATAGAAGTAGGGTTAGGGTTAGGAGTAGGGTTAGGGTTGGGTTAGGAGTAGGGTTAGGGTTAGGAGTAGGGTTACGAGTAGGGTTAGGGTTAGGTTACGAGTAGGGTTAGGGTTGGGTTAGGAGTAGTGTTAGGGTTGGGAGTAGGGTTGGGTTAGCAGTAGGGTTATAGTTAGGGTTGGGCTAGGAGTAGGGTAAGGGTTAGGAGTAGGGTTAGGCCTGGGTTAGAAGCAGCGTTAGGGTTAGGAGTAGGGTTAGGGCTAGGATTGGGTTAGGGTTGGGTTAGGAGTAAGGTTAGGGATAGGGTTAGGAGTAGGGTTGGGGTTGGGTTAGGAGTAGGGTTAGGGTTGGATTGCACATGTCTATTGGGTTGGACGTTTGTGTACCTGTCCCCATGTGGATGTCCATGTGGGCGTACCCCTTGCATGGGGATTGTCATATAAGGCCAAGTGTGGTACCATTAAAATCTATTCCAGCTTATACTCCAAAACTGTGTGTCGTCCTGTTATTGGAGGGAAAGAAGATTTACTCCTGTGTCTGCTGTTCCAGCTTGCAGGAGATTCAACGGGGAGAGTCCTTGTAAAGACTGGCGCTCCCAGGACTGAGTGTCGTCCAGTGCCTGGTGGTGTCTAGAGTTAATTCCCCAATCGTTTCCAGAACCCCAGTCAAGCCACGGCGACTGTGGGCAAGAGTTCTGAGGTTTGTCCCGTGTTTCAGCTAGGAAGCGGACCTTGTCGGATGTACCCAGCCGGGGTACAGGGAGCTCCGCTACTCTGATTAGAGTTGCAAAGGCCAAATATATATAACAACACACAATAAGGATTTGGGAATTGTTATAGACAACAAACTAGGCAACAATGTGCAATGTCAATCAACAGTGGCTAAGGTCAGTAAAATATTATCATAAGAAAAAAAGGGAGAGTTGCACTCAATCATATAGTTTAACACAGGGTGCACTGAACATGGGCCAGCAAATCCCATAAAATCTATACAAATGAAAAAAATCTCAAGACCTGGTTACAGGTCGAAACGTTGCAGATCCAATAAAACTGCCTTGAAGAAGCCTGAGTTTTTTTTTCATTAGTAAAATATTGTCATGCATTAATTCTTGGGATGAGAATATCATTTTGCCATTTTATAAATCACTGGTAAGACCCCATATTGAATATGCTGTGCAATTTTGGGCACCTGTTCTAAAGAAGGATATTATGGCACTAGAAAAAGTGCAGAGGCGGGGTACAAAATTAATAAAAGGATTGGAACATATCGGCTATGAAGAAAGGTTAACAAATTTAAACCTATTTAGTTTAGAAAAACGTCGCCTGAGTGGGGATATGATAACATTATACAAATATATTCCGGGCCAATACAAACCATTGTGTGGAAATCTATTCACAAACCGGACTTTACATAGGGCACAAGGTTGTGCGTTTAGACTGGAAGAAAGAAGATTTAGTCTAAGACAAAGGAAAGGTTTTTTTACCATAAGAAAGAATTTCTGCCCGAAGAAGTGGTTTTATCACAGCAACTAGATACATACTTGCAAAAACAGAATATTCAATTATATAATGTTTACACTGTAGGGTAAAAGCTGCTTGATCCAAGGATAAATCTGACTGCTATTCTGGGGTCAAGAAGGAATAATTTTCCTAGTTTGCTGCAAAATTGGAAGTGCCTTCTTTTGGGTCAACAGAAAAATACAGATGTGAGGAAGGCTGAACTTGATGGACACGTGTCTTTTTTCAGCCCATGTAACTATGTTACTATGTAGTGTGAATATTTCATAAACTACCTAGAATCTTTAGAAGGATGAATAGGAAGAAGAAGACTATGGAAAGGGGTTATGCCAGTAGGAAAGCATCTTGCAGCCTGATTCATGATACATAGTGTTTATAGGTGACCTGTGGGTGAATATGAAAAAGTCTTGCTACTTATTGAGAGAGAATGTTCCAAGTTATGTTCCCCAAATTTTGTAAAGTATGAAAGGGATGTCTCCTCCATGCGATTAACTAGAATTACGTATAGTGCCGGGCGGTATGGCTTGTGGTGGTGAGTTCCAATGCAAGCTTAGAGACTCAAAATCGGAAAACGAGCAACAGGAAAGTGATATGTTAAAGCTGGTGATAGCAAAACCTTGACATTAAGAATGGACGTTGAGGGATATCAGTGTCTATCAGCGGGGTGAGGGGACCATAGTGATTGACATCTACCAGGTAAAGAGGATTCAAAGGAACCTAGGAAAAACCATCTAATCCAAGTATCTCACATAATAGCACTCAAAAGAAATTAATGGGAAAAAAAATATCTGGAGAGCGAGTATCTCTGTAGTCAGGGCCGGTGCAAGGATTTTTGCCGCCCTAGGCAAAAGAAGGATTTGCCACCCCCCCGGAACATCGCAATGCCCCACCCATAGAACTAATGCCAGTGCTGCACACATTGTGTGTTTACATTAAAAAGCCTGCAGGGACCGGCTATAGACACCAGAACAACTTTATTAAGCTGCAGTGGTTCTGGGGACTATAGTGTCCATTTATTGTGAGGTAAATTAGAGATTAGTGTCACTAATAATATGCTAGATTGCCTACTTACAACCAGATGAGGATGGTGATGGGCTCTGGCTCCACTGGTCTGGTGTAGAACAGGATCTCTGGAGGCTGTTTGTAACTGTGGTCACAAAATTCAATGTTCTGGGAGAACGGGAAGCAGCTCCATTTTTTGGGGCCTCTTACATAGCTCAAGGTCTGGGCCCCAGGGCCTGACGGTGAGTATGCCCATAAAGCCCACCCATAAGTCCACCTACATGTTCCACCCATGAGTTCGCTCACAGGGAGTAGCGTGTGTAGGGGATGTGTTATGTGTTACTGTAGAGGATCTAATGTGTGTGCTTACGAATGTAGTGTATAGGGATACCAGTTTGTGTAGGTGATGCAGTGTGTTTGTGTGTAGTGGAAGCAGTGTGTGTGTGTGTGTATAAGGGATGTATTGTGTGTTTCTTGTTGTGTGTAAGGGATGCATTGTGTGAATCTGTGTTTGTATGCATAAGGGATGCAAAGTGTGTTTCTGTGTATGTAAGGGATGCAGTGTGTGTCTGTAAGGGGTGCGTTGAGTGTGTGTAAGAGATGCATTGTGTTTCTGTGTGTGTAAGAGAAGCAGTGTGTGTTTGCATGTGTGTGTAAGGAATGCATTGTGTGTTTCTGTGTATATGTGCAAATGATGCATTGTCTTTATGTGTAAGGGTTGCATTGTGTGTTTTTCTGTGTGTAAGGGAAGCATGTTGTGTTTCTGTGTGTATAGGGATGCATTGTGTGTGTGTGTGTGTGCGTGGTGTGAAAGAGCTCCCTGTCCCCCTGTCCTATAGAGCTCTCCCTTCCATTCCTTAGAGATCTCCCCTGCCCCTTAGTGGTCTCTCCTTTCCCCCCCACCTCCCTTAGTGGTCTCCTTTTCTCCCCGACTTTCCATTAGTGGTCTCTCCTCTCCCCCCACCCTTCCCTAGTGGTCTATCCTCCACCCCCCTCCCTTAGCGGTCTCTCCTCACACCCCTCCCCTAGTGGTCTCTCCACTGCCCCCTCCCTCCTTTAGTGGTCTCTCCCTCCCCTACGTTCTCATCTCCCACCCCTTGTGTTCTCCTCTTATTCCCCCCCTCCCTGTGTTTTCCTCTTATTCCCCACTCCCTGTGTTCTCCTCTTCTTCTCCTCCCTGTAATCTTCTCTTCTTCTCCCCCCTTCCCTCCCTGTAATCGCTGCTTCTCCCCCCGTAATCTTCTCTTCTTCTCCCCCCATAATCTTCTCTTCTTCTCCCCCCCAATCTTCTCCCCCCTCCCATCAATCATCTCCCCCCCACTTCCCTCCCATCAATCATCTCCCCCCCTCCTTCCCTCCCATCAATCATCTCCCCCCTCCCTCTCTCTTATCAAATCTCCCTCCCCTCATCTCCCCCATCCATCATCCCCTCCTCCCTCCATCAATCTCCCCTCCCCATCAATCTCCCCCCCTCAATCATCTCCCCATCCATCATCCCCCCTCCTCCCTCCCATCAATCTCCCCCCTCCCCATCAATCATCTCCCCCCTCCTCTCTCTTATCAAATCATCTCCCTCCTCAATCATCTCCCCCAATCATCTCCCCCCCTCCTCCCATCAATCATCCCCCCTCCCATCCAATCATCTCCCCCCCCTCCCCATCAATCATCTCCCTCCCCATCAATCATCCTAGGCGGCTGCCTAGTTCGCCTTATATGAAGCGCCGGCCCTGCGCCCTAGGCGGCTGCCTAGTTCGCCTTATAGGAAGCGCCGGCCCTGTCTGTAGTGCAGATGTATTACAATATTACAAACAGGGCATGCCCATCATAATAAGCAGCAGGGATACTAATTGTAGCTAACACATCTCTACACTGAAAAAAAAGAGAATAGTGAGAACAAAAAAACAAACGAAATGAAACTGGGATCTGAACTCATTTTCACGTCACTACTGGACTCTTTCTCAACATAGGGGTACGTAGAGAAAATATGATCCAATGTTTATTTTCAGGACACTAACTCTGCCATGCCAGGTAGTATGTGGTAAGAACCATTTGTGAAGGTCTGATTTGACACAGTCTAACAATGGAAAAGTTTAGTCGAAATGTCTGGATTCTGGAATAAGTTTGCCAAGATACACAACGGGAGGGAAAATGGCATTGCATTATAGAAACCGTAGCAGGATCTCATAGCAGGTTTAGGATTTTTTACTTTGAATAGCAGTCTTTCAAATCTGACAAGAAACCGAATGTAATCTCCTCTCGCCTGAATGCAGTGGTGGCTGAGATTGCATTAACAGCATTGAGAAAAGATCCCAAAATTAGGACAAAAAGAAAGGAAAACAGTAGGCAAACCTGTTGGGTGCCATTTGTAATATTAAATGGCACAGACACTATTGACTCGTATTGCAGCAGTGGGTACAGAAGAGCCAAATTAGCTTTTTGCCAAACTTTGGTTGTTTGGATATTAAATTGCTGTAATTTGCAGTTTAGTGCTGTAGTTGTTGTTACTGTTTCAAAGGATCTTAACATGTATAGCTTGGAGGAAAGACGAGACGGGGGATGTGATAGAAACATTTAAATATATAAAGGGAATCAACACAGTAAAGGAGGAGACTATATTTAAAGGGACACTATAGTCACCAAAACACATTTAGCGTAAAGTTTTGGTGTAGAGATCATGCCCCTGCAGTCCTACTGCTCAATCCTCTGCCATTTAGGAGATAAAATTAACTTTGTTTATGAACCCTAGTCACACCTACCTGCATGTGACTTGCACAGCCTTCATAAACACTTCCTGTAAAGAGTTGTCTAAAGTTTGTCCTTCCTTTATTGCAAGTTCTATTTAATTTAGATTTTCTTATCACCTGCTATATTAATAGCCTGCTAGACCCTGCAAGAGCCTCTTGAATGTGATTAAAGTTCAATTTACAGAGCAAGAGATAAAATTGTTTAAGGTAAATTAAATCTGATTGAAAGTGAAACCAGTTTTTTTATCATGCAGGCTCTGTCAATCAGAGCCAGGGGAGGTGTGGCAAGGGCTGCATAAACAGAAACAAAGTGATTTAACTCCTAAATGACAGTGAATTGAGCAGTGAAATTGCAGGGTTATGATCTATACACTAAAACTGCTTTATTTAGCTAAAGTTGTTTAGGTGACTATAGTGTCCCTTTAAAAGTAGAAAAACTACCACAGCAAGAGGACATAGTCTTAAAATAGAGGGGCAAAGGTTTAAAAATAGTATCAGAAAGTATTACTTTACTGAGAGGGTAGTGGATGCATGGAATAGCCTTCCAGCTGAAGTGGTAGAGGTTAACACAGTAAAGGAGTTTAAGCATGCGTGGGATAGGCATAAGGCTATCCTAACTAGAAGATAAGGCCAGGGACTAATGAAAGTATTTAGAAAATTGGGCAGACTAGATGGGCCGAATGATTCTTATCTGCCGTCACATTCTATGTTTCCTGGACATAAATCAGATGCTGATTGGCAGCGTTTAAAGTACATTTTTTTGCCCAGAAGTTTATAGATTTCATATGAAGCAGAAGGGAAACGTGTTTCTTTAAGACAGTACATTGGGAATCTCCCGACTAAAGCATGATACCCACCTATGTAGATACTTCTAACAGTCAACACTAACATAATAGACGTAATATTACTTGAGGAATTTATCATTTACCTGTGTCCTTGTTCTAGAAACATGCAGACAGTGGCTACTACAGGACTTTATTGTAGATACATACTTCATCAGCCTGCCTACAGGGTGTAAGTAGTTATCCTATCGTACAGCGCTGCACAATTTCTAAATAATCTTAAATGAGTTCACTAAACACTGGATTGTAGTGAACTGAAAACCTACTTGTAAATTTTAGGAAGGAATATGACAATTTAGGAACAAAAATGAATTGTTTGCCCAGGGCCCTAGGCAGGGTGTCAGATTGGGCCCCCTACTAGAGCCCTAAATTCTGTTCTGTGAGTGTAGTGTGTCTTGGCTGAGTGCTGTGTTTGTGGAAGAGTCAGAGAGCTGTATGTTGGGGGAGGCTGAGTGTGCCTGTGTGGAGTCTGTTCATGTAGGGAAGTCCATACCTCCTCTGTGATGTCATTGGGGGACCCTCAGCGCTGGAACAAGGTAGGTAAAAAAGGGTTTATAACGAACAAGAGGGGAAAGACATGATACCACTAGGGACAGGGATAGTATAACATTAGGAATACCGATTAGTATTGTTAACTTTATAGTGTTCCACTAACACCTCACACACTACAGAATGGAAAGGGGGAGACTTGACCAAGCCTCATCTTAAATTATAGTGGGTTCTATGAACATGAATGAATGAAATGAATAGGCAGGTGGGTAGCTACCGCCTGGCACCCCGACTGGGTACCTCCGTCAATCGCTGCTTCCTTGTAATCTTTTAGTACCATGAGCACCGCATCGGACACCATAACCACCATAAACTCCACAAACCGCCGCAGCTTGGTTGGGGTCTCGCTGTCCTCCACCCACCTTGGACCCAAGACCAGGATCCAGCTTCCAGTGGGTAGACCTCTCCTAGTCCAGAGAGCGAAGCCGGCTGCTATTACAAGAACAATCATTGTAATCCAAGGGAGTATAGTGATTATAGCAATCCGCAGAGGGAATATAGCTCTCCAATCCCCCAAACATGAGCCTAGACTTCATGAAGGGTAAAACTAATCTGTTTAACAGCAGGCCCCTCCAAGGACACGTGACGAGGGTCAGTTCGTCACACCGCTTTTCATCATTAGTTGCCTGCCACAGACCGTAGTTAAAGGACCATTATAGGCACCCAGACCACTTCAGCTTAATGAAGTGGTCTGGGTGCCTGGTCCATTTAGGGCAGGCATAGGCAACCTTCGGCACTGCAGATGTTTTGGACTACACCTCCCAGCATTATGGGTGTAAGAGCATTATGGGGGATGTAGTCCACAACATCTGGAGTGCCGAAGGTTGCCTATCCCTGATCTAGGGTTAACCCTGCCTGCTGTAAACATAGCCGTTTCAGAGAAACGGCTATGTTTATTTTAGGGTTAATCCAGCCTCTAGTGGCTGTCTCATTGACAGCCACTAGAGCCGCTTCTGCGCTTCTCACTGAGATTTTCACAGCGAGAAGATGCCAGCGTCCGTTGAGAATGCTTTCCTATGGACTGACTGAATGCACTCGCATGCGCATTCAGCCGATGACGGGGAAAGGAGGCAGAGAGTCTCCAGCACCGAGGGAGCCCGGCGATGGAGAAAGGTAAGTGTTTAACCCTTTCCTCTCCATCCAGCCTGGTGGGAGTGGGACCCTGAGGGTAAGGGCACCCTCATGGCACTATAGTGCCAGGAAAATTAGTATGTTTTCCTGGCACTATAGTGGTCCTTTAAGGAATAAAAGGGACCAAATTACCAGGTTCTTCCTGGTGACTGCGGTGGTCTTGGAACCACATTTATATAATTTATTAATACACCACTGACACTGTAAAATACAGAATGGGTGATCGAAGTGTCAGTTTCCCTTTAATCAACTGTCTGCAGCCACCAAGGTGAAGTGGACAGGATGAAGTGGTTTTACAGCGTGACTGTTCCTTTAATACGTTTCATAATGTGAGCCCACATCTCTGAGTTTCTAAGAAGCTGAGTGACTAACCCTCCTATTAGGGTTACTCCATTTCCCTTTTTAAAGGGAACATAGACCAAAATACAAACAGAAGGAAAATTGTGAATGAAAAGGCAGAATCAGTACGGTTTTCCCTGACTTGTCTGTTTAGGCCAAAATGTTCATGCTTGGTTGGCAATTTAGCAATAATTCACTGTTACACCAATATCTGACACGCTTATTCGCTAAAATGTGAATTATTAAGAATTTCAAGTTTTAAAGGGACAAAGTATGCACTGCAACTGCTTTATTTAATTGAAGTGGTTATAGTTTCTGGAGTGCCCTCGAGTCCTCCTATTCAGCGTTAAACTGTTTTTAATGTTTTGTGTATTTTTGGGGGTTTTTGAGGGGTCTGTGGGCAGGGCCGGCGCCACCGTTAGGCGAACTAGGCATTCGCTTAGGGGGGCGCGCACCGGGATATTTCCTGGTGGGCTCCCCCTGTTTGGGTCCGCAGCGCCGGGCCGATCCTCAAGGCGCAGAGAGGAGCCCTGTCACAGGGG